GTTCCTCACACATGGTACACTAAGTATTGTTGTGTTTGTGTGGATCTTGGCTAAAGCCCTCTCTGTCAGCCTCCTGGGCTCCCAGCAGTGAGGGGGTTGTTGTTCATCCAGTCATGGGCTGTGTTCGCTGTAATGTGCACCACTCCTCTCCCTCTGCCTGCCGCTGTACAGCGACGGTCTGCAGCCTGCTACTCTGAACACCCCGCTACCCTTTTCAAATGGATTATTCTTGGAAACTTACTACATATTTGGCTTCAGCTGCAGGTGCCTGCTGAGTGTGTATCTCACAGGCTACACCAGCTCCCACATCAGCATCTACACTGGAGATGTTTCAAGACACACCTCAGTGTTTCATCTCTACTAGTGCCCATTTAATATTATTATGATTTAATACATGCCTGTTCAGAACAGGCTGCCCGGCCTCTGGTACTGCTGCCTGCAGCTTTCTCAGTGTCATCAACCAGCCGCTCATCTGAACGTCCTCGACACTGTGTTGGGTTATCAGAACATTTAAAAGTCAAATTAGACCACGCTTCATCTATAGCTGGCATCGTTAGGAAGATGGAGAACCCAAAACCTTTGACTGTACAAACTCAAGGATTGCTTTCAAAATGATGAATTATTTTCTTTGATTAGTCGAATAATAATAATAACAACTGATTCAATTTCATTTTTTCTAAGGATGAACAGAAGATATACTAAATATTTTACCCCAGATAAATATCATGTCTCATTAATATTTCCGTATTTTATTCAACATCCTCGTCATCCTCATCTCATTCCCACATCACAGCTGTGTCATCATGCTAACAATAATAATAATAGTAACAGGCTGACAGATGTGTCAGATATCTCCTCTGAAAAATACTGGACCTCTGATCCAAACGGACACAAACATTACTTCAGTCACTGTGCATCTTGGCAGCCCTTCGTCTGAACTACAGAATCAGTCTTTTGCTAAGCTGCTTGACTTTAAGCTTAAAACATTTATGAAATGGATTCCTGTCAGTTCTGGAGTAAAACACTCATCAGCCACAA